CCTGACCCTATAAGACCCGTTCAATCGCAAGCAAGACTGCCTTCCTCCCAACCTTCCCCCTGATGCAGCCCCTTGACAATCTGCTTTCAGACAAACAAGAAACTGAAACTGCCATTTACACAAAACATTCTTTTAATTAGTCTGATTTGTGTCCTGAAAGTCAACTCAAAGTCAAAATAGAGGTTGCACTCAGCATAGCCAAACACTTCATAGGGAGGTGTGTAGATAGGGGTTATACTGGGTTTACAAGGAGAAGCAAAGTTACCTCTGAGTTCCCTGCCTCCAGAACTCCTCCTGAGTTCCGGAAGGGCTCCCGCAATCGGTGGGGCAACCTCCCACAAAGGCCTTGGCGCGGATTACAGGTTACAATCCCGCTTGCCGCCTTCCTCTCCAAACCAAAGGACTAGACTGACAGTGAGAAGGGAAGAAAGAGAAGCATTAAGTTTCTCAGATACAAGAGGGATGCGCTCAGACTCGCATGAAAGGGCCTTGATGTCTTCTGCGCCTGAGGGCCCCGCAATGATGGCCAAATGTAACAGCTTGGTCACTTCCCAAAATCTAAACAGCAGGACCAACCCCTCCCGACAGATTCCCCAGCTGCAGCGGTAGCCCCCTCAAGCTCGGCTACTCCCCCACACTTCCCTTAAGTCAACTGCGGCTGCCCAACCTGTTGCATAAGTTGGTGACAGCCAGCAACAGTATGTGGCGACATGCAGCAGCCAACCGCGGCAGCAGTCCCTTCAGGACCGCAGGATGCCTCTTTCCCAGCGCATCACACAGCGTCACACAGCCGCACTCCAGCAAGTACAGCAGCCCCGCAGCAACCCCGGTAGTTGCTGTAGCCGAAACGTGGCTTGAGCAGCAAGGCCCTCAACGATACGTTGTCCGTAGCCAGCCGCCGGCGTGCTAGAGTTAGCATAAGCCCGGCAAGCCGCTGCGGCGCTGTAGCAGCCTGGTCTGCTGGCGACCGGCAACCCGCAATCCCACAGAGGACCCTTGCCGCTGGTTCGGTTGGTAAGGTAGACGGCACTCTCGTCAGTGGGCAAGCTCTCCGAGCTCTGCCTCTATTCTCTCACTGTTGCTGCCTGCCAGGCGCACGATGCAGCCGGTGTCTTGGTACGCAGGTTGCTAAGGCAAGCGGCACAGTGGCCAACAGAAAGAGAGTCCTCCTGCTATAGACTGCCTCCTGTCTCACAGTGCCCCCCCCCTCCCCCCCTCCGTCCAGGCTCGTCTGCAACTTTCTTGCTCAACAAGCCAAATGGTACCTCGGCTCCTCGGCAGGTCACCGCCTCGCTACTCGATCGCAGCCAGGCCCTGCTGGGCACAGTGAGCCGCTCACCGGTCCACAGATGAGCCCCCAAACAGTAGCTCGCTTGCGTTCTGCCTCCGACCCTCACACTCCTGGTCACCTGTTTCTGTCACGTCCGCCTGAGGCTTTGAGGGCTTGAGATTACAACGAGCAAACCGTGGAACCACCCGTATCAGAGAGAGGAAGTCGCCATCCCGGCGGGCGAATTAGATCGAATGAGCCTCCCGCCAAGCATCGGACCGTACACCTCCCTCCGTGTGCGTTCAGGCGTGCGAGAGGGAGAGAAAGAGCTCCCTAACATTACGACGAGCGTCGCGGCGGCTATCAGGTAGGCCCCCCCCCCTTTCTCCGACTCCACTGGTAGCTTCCCTTTTTTAACTCCCACTTGTCGCAATCCCCCAAAAAACTAACACTTACAGAGAGAGAAGCCGAATTAATCTCTTGCTGAAACGCGGCCAGATTCACTCACCACCCATAATTGCTTTGCCCCTCGCAACCTCTACTCCTCACACACACCCGTCTGGCAGCTCTCCACCTACCCGCTCTCACTCCAACCCAGCTTCATCATCCGACTCGCCCGCGACCATCACCCCGGAACCAACTTCCCGTCTGCCTCGACCAACTCGGACGCGACGGAGTAGGCAGCCCTTTACCCTCTGCCTCGTATCGCTATAGCAACCGCGCACTACCTTTTCGACTCTCCTCCTAAACCGACCGCCAATCCCCAAAACTGACCTCAGCTCCGGGGTCGCCAGCCCCGAAAACCCCCAATACGACCTTTTCCCCACTAGATTCCACCCAAAGATGAGTATACTCCTCCTTCTTCCCCTCCGTTTCCTCGGATGAACCCGGCGCCGGGATGCGCCCCGATTCGCCCGCCCCCCTTGACACACCGTGATGCCTTCCTGCGTCTCTCACCTCGGCTGAATCTGGCATAGTCCTGTGTCTAGGTCCGATCAGTCCCCTCCTTGCTTCCAGCGCATACCGCCCGTTGTGCCCTCTCCCTGCTGCGTGCGATCACACACCACCCTCACACCTTTCACTTTGACAGTATTTGGCCCAACCCTCGGCCCAGGTTCAGCCCGCTCCCTTTCTCCTTTGTTAACGCCCACGCCCGACTTCCTTTCCCTCGCACCTGGCTTGCTCCCGATTGCGGCTGCGGCAACACTATTCGGCTCGTACTGACTCGTCCCGCTCAATCCCTGCTTACATTAGGCAGGCAACATCCTCTCCCCCTCACCACGGCCATCTCCTGGCTCGTGTGTGCTCGGTGTCGCTTATAGACCGACTGGCAACCTCCACTCAAATTCTTCGACCTTTGCGCCTTTCTCAACTAGCATCCCTCTCGACTCCAACATTTCTTTATCTATCAGGGGAGTTTTTTCGCCCTCTTGCTGGTCTGCCTTCTCTGCATCCTTTTGCCTTTTGAAAGCTCCTTCTGCAGGTTGTTCCCTAATTTCAAACTTTTGGACCTTTGTCCAATCCACCACTGACGTCGGAGCCTGCTGTGCATACTTGGCCTCGAGGTCTTGAATCCTGAATGGGCTGTCCATCCCTTCCCAGTGGTGACGGATCCAAACCCTTCATTCTCCGCTCAAAATTCTGCCAGGTTAACGACTCTCTGACCATCTTAGCAATAGGGTCCGCCTACTCGCCTGTGCCTCGCACCTCTCTCAACATCCTGGTGTTGTCCCATCCAAACTCTCGCGCATGCTGCTCGAACTCGATCAGAAACAGCTCAATGTTCCCTCCTTGGAAGACTGGAAGCCTGTCCTCTCTCCTGGTCCTCATCTGCGTCCTCTCACGGGTTGCCCCCAAGGGGGTTTCCACTGGCCCTGCCCCTCCCCTCCCTCTTGGCATGGCTGCCCCAGGCGGTGTCAAGCCTGCAAAACAAGGAGGAGACAAACAGGAGCACACAAAGGGTAAGCAATGTCATACAAAACACAACAGGAGATAGACATAACCCTCCCATAACTATCCCAACTACTTACCTACCCATATGCATGCATGTCCTTACACACACGCGAGTCTAATCACACCCTACCATGCTACTCTACTGAGAACAGTATCGGAGTAGTCATGAGATGACCCTAAGTGGTGAGATCCCTGCTCACCTCGTCTCGAGCAACAAACTTCTTCAGCCTTGAGCCTGACACCCAATCCTTCCATGCCGTCCCATTTAGCTCCTCAATTTGGTAGGCACCATGTTCACCACATCTGGTGATCCTGTAAGGTCCCAACCACCTCTTATCCAACTTCCGAGACCATTGCTTCTCCAGGGACGAGTCATACAACAACACAACGTCTCCCACCTCGAGAGGCTCCTTTCTTACCCTCGCCATCTTATCCCACCGGAACTTGTCCTTGGTACGGTTATCGGTTGTCCTACTTGCTGCTTCCTCAACCCTGTCCTCAATAGCGCCGATCTGACGTGCTCTCAAATCCAGCAGCTCCTCAAAAGTCAGATCAGTCTCGAGGTTCTGTCGCCTCCAGGTCTTTAGGAAGCTCTCGATAGGAAATGTTGCGTGTCTGCCGTACCATAACGTAGCCGGTGCGTAGCCAGTGCTTCTCCTGACGGTGATGTTATTCACGAAGAAAGCGACCATTAGGAAGTTCGGCCACTGGTTGGGCCTGCCATCGGTCGATTTGGCAAGAAGATTTGTAATGGTGTTGTGCCCTCTCTCCACATGTGCATTGGCCTGAGGGTGCGCTGCAGTGGTGTATTCGGCGATCACCCCATACTTCTTCAATAGCGCCTTTACTTCCGCACATGTGAATTCAGACCCCCTATCCATCACAAACCTGGAAACGAAGGGATAGTGAAGATAATACTCTTCGATGCATCGGTTCAGCGTCTCTCCAGTCTTCATGCGAATGGCCCTGCCATCCACAGACCCAGAGAGGTTGTCCCGCATATCAAAGATGAAGTTGTAGCTTCCTATTCCCAACAGCATTGCCAGCAGGTCCAAGTGTACGACGGCTTCAACCTTACGAACATACCTTGGGTGGAGCGGCTCTCTAGGTCTAAGAGAGGATCACTCCTGACATGGCACACAGGACTTACAGTAATCGTCGATCATCTGCCCCATGCCATCCCAATAGTATAGCTCGTGGATTGTCAGATATGTCGTATCTGCACCTCTGTGGCCACCTGCCGTACCGTCGTGCAGTGCCGCCATAATGTCAATCTGGCGAGCGATGCCGCAGACTACTCTCCTGGGATCCCTTCCTTTGCTCCTCATGAACAGATGGTCATCCCTTACCAGGAAGCTTGGCCTCATATTCAGAACTCTCGCGCAGGCATCTCTTTCCCTCATCTCGCACGAAAGAAGCATGCCGAGTTCAAGGAATACTCCCTCATACTCCTCTGCTCGAAACGCTTCCTTGATCACCCCCTCTTCAAAGTCATCATCTTCTCTCTCGTGGATCACATTGTCACCTTCTCCCGGCTCCACCACCTCTTCCTGATCTAGCACCATATTCCTGACTGCCTCCTCCTGAAGCAGCGCATTTGCCAGTAGATACACCCCACCTATCATCTTTTCCTGCTTGCCTACCTGCAGCGCCCCATCCTCAATCGTAAGCGAGTCCTCATGCAGTTGGTACTTGCCGGCCAAGGCCAGCTCCATCATCCAATCTACGCCCGACATTCCCCAAGAATCTTCTTCAATATAGGGTTTGAGGACCAAGTCTGGCCGTCGTGCATACCCAAGAGGCGCAAGCCATACAGGCCGTCCAGGAGTAACATACTTACCCACGGCCAATGCCTAGGAGTTGATGTGAAGTCTCACATCCTCCTCGCTGTCCAAGAACCCGTCGACTGGTGGAGTATCCTCGATCACTCCTTGATTGTTCTTGTCCCAGTCGACTCGGCTCAGCCCGTCCGCCCTATTCTTGTTCCCTGGAATTCGCTCCGACTCGAAGTCGAACATCCAGATGTACGTTAACCACCTGGCGATAGCTGGATCTGAAGGAGCGAAGTTCTTGAGAGAACCAGCAAATGTCGTAGCGTCCACCCTCAATACGAACCTACTGCCAAAGAGGTAGTTTCGGAAAATCCTCAAACATTGAAGGACTGCCAAGGTTTCGCGCTTGAACTGAGAGTAGTTCCTCTCAGACGTATTGAGCGTCCGACTCTCAAACCTTAGAGGTCGTTCCTCCCCATTGGAATCTCGCTGGATCAATTTACCTCCCAGAGCAGTTGGCCTTGCATCTGTCTCTACAATGAAAGGTTTGGTCATTACCGCCGCACGATCTGGTACTCCCAGTACTAGACCTCCTTCTTCAAACTCTTTCTTTATATTTTCTATTACCGATTCTTGCCTTTCTCCCCATTTCCAGTCTTGCCCCTGACGCACACGCTTTCGTAACTGCTTCGTCTTTGTCGCAAACCCTTTTATGAAGATCCTCCAAAACCCACACGTTCCCAGGAAGCTCCTCACCTCTGTGATGGTCTAGAACGGTGTCGGTCATTCGAGAATCTTGTTAGTCTTCTTAGTGTCTGGCCGACGACCCCTCTCGTCGCACACAAACCCCAAGATGGTAGCTCCGCTCATACAGTGTCTTGACTTCGGCCCACTGGCAATGAGGTTATGCTCCTTCAGAAGACCCAGGACCTTGCACAAGTCTTGCACATGATCCAAGACAAAGCGCCTGATTTCCGGCATTACCTCCGGCTCATCCTTCTCCTTAGGCCCTTTCACGGCCAGATCACCAATGTAGGGCTGCGTGATGTGATGACTTATGGGCTGCATCGCCCTCACCATATGCCGCTGGACCTTAGCGACCGCATTCGTCCACGCTTGCGGTGCGACGTTCATGTGGATCAACCCTCGAGGGGTATACATAGCCGTCATCGGTCTGTCCGATGGGTATACAGGAAACTGATCATAGCCTGAATATAAGTCAATGAGTGATATAATGGCTCTCCCAGCGCATGCCTTTGAAAGCGTATCGGCGTTGGGGAGGGCACCTGCATCCCTCACTGTCACAGCGTTCAGGCGCTGCAAATCCTGTACCCACCTCAGAGTCCCATTGGGTTTGACAAAGCAAAACCAAGGGGTGCATACAGTCTACTTGAGTAGTCTGCCACATGAGTGTGGATTTTTCCATCAAGGTAGTTGACTACCTTCTCTTCATCGGTTGGATTAGGGTACCGCACGCCTCGCAAGTTCCACGGTTCGTGAGGTACGGTGTGTATCCTAATCATTGGGATTATATCCACATCCAGACGTCCCCTCTCATCATCACTGAAGGCGTATGCAGCATGCCTTCCCCTTATGGTCTTTACCACAAGTTTCTCCTCCTGTGCTGTCAGGAAACCAAGTTCCCCTACAATCAGCGCCTTTTCTGTCTCGGGATTGATACGGCATGGCCTATTCTCCGCTCTCTCTCGCATCTGGCGTATCAGCTCTCGTTCCCGCTCGTAATAGACTTCTTATTCTTCGGTGACGAGTACGGGAACGGGGTGGCACTTCTGGTCTACCCTTTTGTACCGCCTTTGTGCTCCCTGCTTGAGCCCACCCCTAAGAAAGACCGAGTTGCGCTTTGGGGTTGTGCTCCACTTGCCCCACCTGTCTTCCCAGGCGTTCAATATACCAATTTCATCTCCCCTGCGCCCATTTGCTCCACTAGCTTTTCGCTTAAGGTCTCCACAGTCTCTGGGTCCGCCATCTCATAGGTTGATACGATGTCCATGGCGTCACCTACGTTTGCCAAGCTTAGAGTCAGTGCCTCTGGCTCTCTCACCTCCTCGAGCCTGCTGTTCTCAATCCTTAGCCTTTCTTATTCTGACTCTTCAATTGTGAATGAACCGGGGTTGGGCCGGTTCCTTAAGCTCTTGGGTCCTGTGTTCTTGCAAGTGATGATCTCGTAGTTCCCGCATACGGGGTTGCACAGGACGAGGAACATAGTTCCATCGTGTTTGTTGAGGATGACCGTCTCTGTCCGACTTAGGAACGACCTCCCAAGTAGAATAGGGTGGTCCAAGTCAGGCATCACAAAGAAGCAGCTCCTTACTTTCACCTTTCCAATTTTTAATATCACTGACGATGCGGTCCCAATGAATATCGATCGGTTGTTGGCCCCCATCAAAACCCCATTGTCAGAGCGGTCTATCTTCATTCCCAGCCGTACGACATTCTCTCTTTTTGACCCTTTGTTCAGTTTTTTCATCCTCTTCTTTTCTCAACCAATTATCTTCATCATCCTGCTCTTCTGGAACGCCCACTACCTCCTTTTCTCCATTGGGTTCAGGAACATCCTTCGCTGGTTCTTCGGGGCTCACTGACCCTTTAGCCCTTGTCCTGACAGCATGTGGCGCCCTCCCCGTCCTGGAGGGTGGTCTATAAGTCATGCCGGATCTTGGCGCCGGCCCTGAAGTTGTGACGCTTGGTAAGTTGCCATATCCTCCCTGCGACCCTGGACTAAGATCATAGAGGTATACCAATGGCTCCTTACCTTTCCATTCCTTGACTTCATCATACATATCGGTCAGCTTCTGTTGATACCTTTCGACTTTGTCTACCAGGTCCTCCATTCTTTCCATTGTCTGTCGGGCCGTTCTCCAATAATTTTCTCATGTCTCAGCAGGCCGTGGCCTGTTCCAGTAGTCCTCTTCTATCTCGTCATCCGATTCCACTATGATTGGCTCTTCCTTAATAGTGTCGGCTTTCCTCTCTTGCTCCCCCTCCTCGGTCTCTCCTACCTCCTCCACCCTGATGTCACTACGGACCTCTTTCTCCTGCCATATCCGAAACATGGCTGGAGGGGCGGGTGGTTCACCCGCCTCGGCTCGTCGTAGGGCCTCTTTCCTTGTCCCGCTTGGGGTCCTTGGATCAAGGTGGTACCCCTACTTGTCATACATATCCCCATCATAGTTGGTGCTGATTAGGTCTTCGTCTTCATCGTTCCTCCGGACATTAATGGTATGACCTTTCTGCCCACAGTGCCAACAAATGACATTTTTCCAGTCTATCCTCCCTCTGCCAGCGCCCCTTCTACCTTCTTGGCCACCCCGACTTCTAGATGCAGTCCAGTCCCCGTTTCCCCCGCCTGCAGCGTTACCACCACCATTCCCTCTGCCGTTTCCTCCCCGACCACCATTTCCTCGCCCTCGGCCCCATCCTTGGTTCTGTCCTCGTCCACCACCTTGATTCCCTTATGATCCTTGTGGGGCTGACTGCTGGGGTTGGTTCGGTGGTGGGTTTGGGTGGCTCACCTGCTGAGCTTGGGGTCCTGGACATCCGCAGGAAGCCGCGCTCATTGGCGGTCCGACACATGACCCGTGCGGCCCACTCATCGTCCATGGCGCGTATGAACAATGCCCATGCCAATAATTTGAAGGCCCACAACCTTGCCATGGCCCATAGTGTGCAGGTGCAGCCTGACTGGGTGACTCAGGAGGTGGCATGGCTACAGCTTGCGTGACCTGACCCCTCCCTGAGCCTTGCCCCCCCTGAGCCAAGTTCCTTGCCTTCCTCTGAGCCATTGTCAGCTTATGTGGCTCAGGCACCTCTTCTTCTTCTTCCTCCTCTTCCTCCTGCGCTACGGCCTTTTTTGCTTTCTCTTGGGCCTGTGGTGCCGCCATAGTCTTTCTCTTTGCCTCCTTTTCTGCATCGAGCTGGGTCACTGCGTCCTCTACCAATTTCTTGAAGTCGCGTCCATCACCCGCTATAGCATCCAAAGCCTTCCTCTTCTTCCTAGCTTGTCTCATCTGGAAAATGTCTACTTGGTCCAGTTCTCCTTCTATCACGCCTTCCTTTATGGCAGCCCATGTGAGCTTCTTTCCCGGCGCAACTTTCTTGGTTAGCGACGAGGCCTCCCAATTCTTAAAGTGTCCCAGGAAAGTGACACATTGTTCCTCCTCCGCCAACCCTGGGACTTTCTTTGCCATCTTCTCGAACGCTGTGGCGAAGGCCCCTACCGTGGAGAACTCATCCCGTTGTAGCATTTCCAAGCCTGTCTTAGTCAGCAAGCCATCCCCTAACTTGAATCGCCTCTGCATTTCTGGCTTGAACTTTGCCCAGTCTCCCCCTGCTCTAGCAGCCACCTTCATTACTTCGGGCCGGGTTTCCCACCAGATATATCAAGGTAGGAACTTAAACTTATCTACCTCAGGCACCTCGGCCGTAACCTGTTCAAGGAGCTCCAGCCACTTCGACACCCTCTCTCCTTCAAAATGAAAGATGTCAATTTTTGGCACTTGTAGTCGTGCCAACTCCCTTTTCTCGAGTGTCTTGACAAAATCTTCTGGCGTAGCGGCTGGGCTCCGCTCGATCCCATCGGCGTCTGACATTTTCACCTCTTTTTGCTAACCAACCTGACAAGAGTAACAAGGGATAGACCGGTAAGTAGTTCGTCAAGTTTCAGAGGGCTTGCCCTACATCATTCTTGACCACTCTACTTCTAAGTTTAGCTAACCACTCTACCATTAGTCATTCACACCCAAGATACAACCTTTAGTCGCACTATATATCGTTCAGTCTTATTATGACTTCATATACAACCCTCTTATATAGCCAATCCAGCCGATAACTTTTGTCGTTTTGCCTGGATCATTAACCTGCACTTAACCTGGGTTCGTTCTCTTAAGGACCCCGGTAGGCAGCCGAGATCCCCGGCAACGGCGCCACCTGTCGAGCGCATCGGGCTCACACGGGGACCCTCCCGGCCGCGTCACGCAGGATTATGCAGGACTTGTCACGGAGAGCGGTTGCCGCTCTGGCCGAGTGCGTCAGCCGTACCTCTTGCGAGCCCCTACGACAGGACAGGGTCACGCGAGGCACCTCTTACCTCCACCTGTGGGAGCTATCACCACCCCTTAGGTGGGCGTATCCCTGCCGATCTACTGAACCACATGCGAAAGCTTTTCGTATGCAATTGCAGAGGTGGCCCAGCCGAGAGCGTTTCTCGTTCGTTGTAGCATAGAGGGTTACGCGCGGTCGAACGCCCAAAAATTGAACCCGTACTCGAATCGCCGTACTGGGGGGCTGAAGTTCCAAACGCAACTCGACGCCGGTCGACTAGGACGCAATACACACCCACGCGTTACACTACAACTCTCACATCTACTCACACATGACACCTGAACCACAAGCAAAACTAACACCACAAACAACACCACAGTACAACAACTCCTAGTCCCTTCAGTATCCGACCCATAACTTTACGCGACGAAATTCAGATAGGTACCGCGCGCTGGATTTCCATATAAGTGTCGAGCGAGCGTATGGCCTCCTCATATCGACCAGTCATGCGGGCATACGCAGGCATTCGCGCTGATGGGGTACTATGTGGCACTCGTAGTCTCGCGGCCCTTGATAATTTCAAGGGTAGCGTTCGACACTCAAGTGTCGGCTGACAGGCACCTTGAGGGGTAATCTCTCAACGTCGGACAACCGCCATGCGCGGTTGAAGACCACACCCTCTTCTGCACCCTGTGCAGAGGAGTTGAGTAGACAGCTATAAGATGTCGTGGCGGTCAGACATCAAGGGGTTTGACTTTGACGGCTACCACGGACTATAACGTCCAACCGTGAAGGCTCAAAAAAGAAAAACTCACTCCAACTCTCATCAGTTTAGTGGCCTCCTAAAATGAGAGGGGTAGATAGGCCCAAACGACGCGCTTGCGGAGGAGGCCCAAAGTCTTACCCGTAGGCTATCCGATGTCCGAGATAGTGAGGCCCGTACACGGAATCCCATAGGTCGGCTGGGACTAGTCCTTCGCCCATGTGTCACTTCGAGATACCAAAACCCCAGTCTATTTGCCATATCACGCTTTTGGTCTCGCCGCGTGACCCATACCCGTTAGTGCTAGAATCAGTGAGTGCTGCGCGCATGGACTTAGTATAAGATCGTGCGGACGCAGTGCCCACACATACCAATTCACTATGCAGCTCTACGTGAGTGCTTGCTATGACGGTGCATTATGTGGTGCCCATACCCAAATGGCCTCTTCTGAGCCATGGGGTGATTTCCGACGCTCAGGCGTTGGCTGAAGCGCGGGCTAGGGGAGGTAACCCTTGAGCGGGCGCAAAACCGGCCTGAGGACCTTTCCGTCTTCTGCACCCTGAAGTGTCCCAGAGGGTACGGGGTAAGACGGACCCTAGGGCATGAAGAGATTTCGAGCGGTGGTGAGTTGTCTGGTGCATCACCAGCGACACGCTAACCCTTCCGCCCGGAACTTTATCGTTCCACCAGAATAAACTTCAACAAGAAAACGAAGCAAAACTTTTAATATCATCAGACAGAACATCGTCGGGATTAACCCTGAGGGGGTTACCTGTACGTACGCTTACTTGGATTATCACCTCATAAGAACGGGGACAGCACAGTCTTACTCAAACAAAAGGGTCGTGGGGTAGTTCGCTCTCACGACAGTTATGTGGGTTGCCCATCTGAATCCAAGGCACAATCACTCAACATAACTCAGATGATACTCTTCCATACATATCTGCAATCACATCGCAGAATCAAGCAAAGATCCACGCGCTACACGGGGTCAACTCCAACCAACCTCTCCACTCATACCCCTTGCTTTAGCTATGCAAGCCTCAACCTCCAACCAACCAACCATAATTAAATACTCAGTACCTTTGTTAAATGGTCATTCAATAAAAGTCTGGGTGAAACCTTAACAAAAGTAAGGGTGTATTGGGGTTGAGTCATAGACCGACGGATCGGCAACCGACCTGTTATCAGTGATAACAGAAAAGTAAACGTTCTGAAGAAATAGGCTGATCATATCAAACCTTCAACTGATAACACGGGAACCTGCATCACAGTACAGGCCAAAGAAAAGTACTACTTATGTTTCTGTCGAGGGGACAATATTCCCCTAGTCGTAACCTAACTCATTACTAGTACCAAGTCCCTAAGTATCACCTCTAATCAGAATGGATCTGCTAAGTAACCCCTAGCTGAAAAATATTTTAACTCCCCGAATTCTATGAAATTTCAGCAGCGCTTCCCGTAGGAAAAGTGTCTTTTCAGAATTTCTATGAGTCCAAAAATGACTAACTCCTCCAGATTTGTAGAAATTTCGGCAGCGCTTCCCGTAGGAACAGGAGGCTGCCAAGATTTATACGAAGATGAAAAAGCAAAAAGACAAAGCAACTACACTTGGAACTAGCTCCTAACATCTGCTTAATGATTCAAGATCAACGATAGCCAACACAACCTCTAGATGAGACTGTGCGCTAGCATTGACCTTAACTCCTAGCAGGGTCAGTCCTACCTTTATCCCAAGTTCTCCCTCCTATCATCCATCTGATCTACCTATGGCTCCAGCACTTGGCGAGCATCTACAGCAACTATCATGTCGAAAGGACGCCCCAAGTGAGAGCCCACAAGCATGTATACACATACATCTCTCACAACCCCACATCAATTCGCCCAAGTAGTTCGTTAGATCATTTAGTTCTTCCCTTCAGAAAACCCCCTCACTTATGGCATAGGATCAGACAAGGCCCTAACTTAAGGGTATGCCCAACCTGCCTAAGCAAACAAGTAAAAGTACGCACAACTGGACTGCCCTAACCTAAGGGTATGCCCAACTCCAGATAAACTCTCGTCATAAAACATATGACCAGACCGCCCTAACTTAAGGCTACGCCTTGCTTCTGTTTAAACTGACGACATGAAACATAAGACTAGACTACCATAACTTAAGGGTATGTCTAGCCAGCCTTACACAAAGTTACATAGGGCATAGGATTAGGCTGCCCCAACTTGGGGGTGTGCCTAACCTGCCTAAAACGAGCACGAACGACGAATGGTCAGACCACCCTAACTTAAGGGTACGTCAAACCTACAAAACATCAACGATAAGAGCATATCACTACGCCGCCCTAACTTAAGGGTACGCCTAACTAGCTTACATAGTATAGTTACATAAGACAGAATTTGCCTGAACAAAGTACAACGACGTATGACTAAGTCGTCCTAACTTAAGGGTACGCTTAGCCTCCGTAACGACAAATATATGAGAACAACCATAGATACTTGCACAAACTCCTTATGTTTCTATCTTATTAGGCAGATAATTAGACCTACACAACTTAGGGAGACATCCAACTCTGCCTTGTGTTTAGAAGGGAAAATAAAACAGGTTTATCATAACTCTCTGCTCCTTAGTCTTGTCAAGAGCATAGGACCGAACCGCCCTAACTTAAGGGTAGGCTCGGCCTGCCCAGATTACCTTCATTGTATTCTTCATAGCTTTTCTCCTCTTCTTGTTCTACCCGACTTACTGACTGGTTTTTCCAACATAGGGTGCCCGGTCTGCCAGATGATATAAGTTCGTATAGTATGTATCAAAGTTGTATACTTTGGTTGCCCTTTGTGTTCATGGCTTATGACTGAGCCGCCCTAACTTAAGGGTACGCTCAGCCTCATGCCTGTTTCCCCCTCAGAAAAAAACACACACAAAACTGAGTCCACGCAACTTAGAGTGTTTCTAGTCCTGTTTTCAGCAACCCACAAAAGAAACATCAGGATTCTAAGACCTCCCAACTTAGGGTGTCCATCCTCCTGTTCAGAAAGCCCAGAAAAAAAACAGCGACTGGTCCGTCCAACTTAGGATAGGCCCAACCCTCAAAACCATTCAGTCAGCCCTGCAAACATGAATAAAACACAGCACTGAGCCCACATCAACTTAGAGGAGCTCAGCCTTAGGTTGACCCGGTCAAAGCATACATAACACCTTCGACCCACCTTCCCCCCAGTTCATTCTGTCTGAAACCACTCAAGTTACCTGAACTCTCATATATAGTTGTTCATTTAACCTTTTGCAAAACATGTTCTGACATACATAACAAAGCAGAAAGTAATAGTCTTCCATAATATTCTTCAGATACCCAAGGATAAGAGATAGGGGAAGGGATCACACGCGTCAGACGAAGTTATACCTGAAGTTCCCTGCCTCCAGAACCCCGCCTGGGCTGCAGCAGAGCTCCCGCAATCGGTGGGGCAACCTCCCACAGAGGCCTTGGCGCGGACCTACGGGTTGCAATCCCGCCTGCCACCTTCCTCTCGTAACATGGACTAGACTGAGATTGAGAAGGGCAGAAGGAGAAAGTTTAGACGCTCAGATCCAA